TATACTAATTTACATAAATGATTCCTATAGTTTTAATATCTTTCATGATTGGTCCCTTACCAACACTATTCATCATCTACACCATCACCATTCAGCGATCAATGTTCACCTCCAACAATCTTGAGGATATTGGTGTTGTCGTCAGGTGGAGCTGAGAGAGGAGGTATGAGATAGGGGTGAGCAAAAACCGAACCGCAAACCGAAAAAACCGTATAAATCGAAACCGAAAAATTGAAACCAAAATAAAAACTGACGGTGCGGTGCGGTTTTAATCTTGCAAAAAACCGAACCACACTGCATATATATATATATATATATATATATATATATATATATATATATATATATATATATATATATATATGTATATATATATTAAGTGTTGATATTTGTAAGAACTAAGAATTTGTAATAATTACAATTTCTATAAATATAAATATTTATCTTATTAGAGGACGATTGTATATTTTCAAGTATATATTTAATGATATTTATAAGAACAAATAATATTTATGACATTTTTTAACATTTAAATATGAAGAATGATAGTATTATTTTTATGAATATATTAATTGATATTATCTCATGTAAATGTGAACAAATATTATATTTAATTTGTATTATATTCAAGCATTAGAAACATGTTAGCGGTTATGTCATTTGATTTCAAACAAAGAGGTAGTAGTATCATAAAAACTGAACCGCAAAAAACCAAAAGGCAAAACAAAAACAAAAAAATAAAATAAAATAAAAAACCGACAAAAACAGGAAAAAAAAATCGCGATAACTGAACCACATAAAAATCGAATTGTGCGGTTTCTAAACTTCAAAAAACCGAAGTTGCGGTTTTCGGTTCATACCGCACCATGCTCACCCCTAGCAAATCCCCTACATGGAGCAAACTTCATTGAGATGATGTGAGACAAAAGCAATGATATCAATTTAGATTTTAATACATGGAGCAAACTTCATTGAGATTATGTTTTTCTTCAAATTATTGGTTTCCATCTCTAATACTTTTATTTTCTAAAAAAATATCTTAATTAATAAAATTTTATAAAATGACTTTTTTTCCCATCAAATTTGAATTTTTTACTAAAGTAATGTATTTAAAAAGATATTTACCAAAATTGCATGATTTTAAAAATATTACCATTTATATTAAATTTTAAACCAATTCAAACTTAGAATGTAAAATAAAAAAGTAAGAGAAATTGAATTATCATGATAAGTACCTTTTTGTTTTATTCGTATCTCAGTAACTTTTTTTAGAACTTGTTTAAGTGTTTACATATGACCATTATAATCGGCTATAATTTACTATATTCGATCATAATAATAGCTATATATAAACATTTCCAACAAATTCGTTACATAAATATATAATAAAAAAGGGTTACTTAAATCTGAACAAAACTAAAATATAGTCAAATTCTCAAACAAATAAGTATAGAAAAGAGTTAGGTTCAATAAAAGTCGTTAATTTTCAACACTGTACCTACATGTTAATACTTGCTGGTCACAATTATATGTGTTCATTTATACTGCAATTGACCGTTACGAATACCATTAGCCACAACATTTAATAAGAAATCATTTGTATAAGAATGTAGTTGAGTATGATGGGTGAACCCTCATGCATGTCAGTGATGAGTAATGACCATCATCATATCATATGTAAACCACTTTTTGGTGGTTCGGTTGTTACATCTCAATTTACACGAAACATGCAACCAACCATTGGCCCAACTTATTATTGTGTAAAAACTTTGACATCTTTTTTTTTTCAAACCAATTACTAAATAAATAATAATAAATTGTATCATTTTAACAGTTCACATCAATCCATCGTAAAATCCATATAGGTCAATTGCAGAATACTAATGGTGAGTCCTAGTTTGAATCCTCAGCCCTCCTATATGAAATTTCATTTTTCAACATAGGCTCTCATCGTAAAGCCACCAATTATTTGGCATTTTATACATGGATAAGTTTTAATAAATCTTTATACTTTTAAATAAACCATCACCGACACCTATCATTCAATTATAAAACTCGTCTAGCCTTCTACTTTACATAATTTATAGTAAAAATGGCCAAATGAATAATTCGAAAACAATAAAACTATTATTATGTTTTTCAATTAATTCAAAATTGTTAAAAAGGTAGTGCAAAACCAGATGAATTTGTCTTTTATCCAACATCGGATACCCTGTACTATTTTGTGACATTATTGTTCTTGATGGTTTTATGGAAATGTAAACCCTAAATTAACTCAATAACAGGTTTTGGGCCATGTTCAAGGGTCAAATGTACTTTTGTTTTTAAAGTACTCGTCCAATAATATCCTTGTATGATGTAAAGTCCTTTACGATCTACTTAGGGATCCCCATCAAGCTTTTGCCACAATATCTTAAATGTGTTATTATTTTTACCCTTAGATGCTAGATGCATCTCCTTATATGAGACATATACGTGAAGGGCCGATATATAGCATCTAAATGAAAGGCAAGTTGTTATATCGATGGTGGATGATATTTGCATTAGTTCTTTTAATTTGATCAAGATGTAAGTTCCATAATTTAGATTAGTTTGTTTGATGTATGTTTCCAACTCTAAACTCTTATGTTTCTTGACTTGAGCTTCCCGTTTAAATCATTTGTTTTTGTGCTAATGCAATTTGCTACCCATTCAAAAAAAGACAACATGTGAATGCTTACCCTTAATTTCCTTCAAAAAGGATTAATTTTGTTTAAAAATTATGTGTGAAGGCCAGATATGTAGCATTATGCAAATGTTTACCATTAGTTTCCTTCAAGGGTTATTTTTGTTTTAAACGATTGTTATTATTAAATATTGATGTTGAATACCTTTGGTCCAAACTTTGCATACCCTTTAATCTAGTGTAAGCAAGCAAGAACATATTTATTATTAAAGAGGGGTAACACATCCTAGACATTTAAAGAATTATGAAACTTTTAAATTTAACATAATCCAATTGTTTTACTCCACATGGAAACACGACTGTCGACATCTAATTCCTCTACCTATTCTAATGGGATACATGGGGTTTGTTGTTGTTGTATAACCCTTAACAAATGATAATACAAAATCCCAAACTATCATATCCTAACAATCATCTTTTATCTTCTACTCTAAATTTTGTCAAGTAACGTCTACTTATTATCGAAAAACAAAGAATTTTTTTTAAAAAAAAAATGCAAGATTGGATGCCAATTCAACATGCATCATACAATACACAGATGGAATAATAATGTTTAAATGGACAGAAATCATTATTATCTTTGAATGGGTTGTGAGGTATAAGTATAACAACAATTGATGCACATGCATTCAACTCTCATCTACCCATAATATCCCTGTACTTGCCATCTATTATTTATATTCGTTTTCTATAACATGAATCATGGGACAACAAATTAATTATGGCTTCATAGTTGTAATATGATCAATACATCTTTAAATGCACCACCTTGTCTTTTATCTTTAAATTTTAATTTATATGTAAAGAAGAAGTTTATGAGTTGTTTTGTTTTCATTAGGACCAAATATATATAATAAGAAAGATAAACTTCAAGGAATACGCATTTAAGAATTGAATTTGTTAATATCAAAATAATTATGAATAAGTCTTTCAATCATTGAAACCGATACAATTTTTTTTTTTTTTTTTTAATCTTAAAAGAATAAATAATGGAATAGAGGATAAGACCAATGAGAATGGAGAGAGACTAGTGGCATAAAACCTGTCGGATACATCCGGAATCTCTTGTCCACACGGCCACACCACCACTTTGACGACAATGTTTCTTCCTTTGTGTCGTCCCATGTTTCACTCCCCCCATTCCCACTTCTTCTCCCTCGATATAATAGTATAAATATTACCACCACCAGACAATCCCTAACTAAACAAATATTAACCTTTGTACTTGGGCTGTCTTCAGAGTATCTTTTGGAAGTTTTAACTCTTTTATTTATAAAATTTAGAGTAAATTACATGTTTGCTCCTGCCGGTTTGATAAACATAACACATTTAGTCAACAAGATTCATTTCTTGCACTATTTGTCCACAATTCATACTTTGTAACACCTTTAGTCCATATGGTTTCCCCACATTAAGTTTGAACTGTATTTTGGAACAAATCGTTGGATTCTGAACCTAAATATATGTTCTGTTTTAATGTGCAAGTCCAAAAGACAAATTTTCCAATTATTGTACTCCTAATTAACATAATATATGTCTATATATCTTGAGTTGAAATATGAAAGGAATAGTCAAAGTAGGAATCTAAAAAACTTTCCGATTAACGGGAAAGAATCTAGGAAGTTCATCATGTCGGAACTTGTTTTTTTACTCCACATATGTTACAAAGGCCCCAAATGCGTCTAAGAAAAAAGCTTAGGTTAGCCACTTCGGTGCTGAAAGCAACAAAATACAATACCCTTATTTTGGATATACTTTAGGGTGAGATAATGCCTATCAAATATAAAGACTAAGCAGTCTAAGCCTCTTTTGCAAAAAGCATAAGGTAGCCGATATTTTGGTTGCAAGTAACAAGATACATCTATACCAAATATACTTAGATATGATATTACATTTAGCCGATATTGTATATCCTTACGATTTTAATGTTGCAAGTTGTAATGTATTTGGTTATGTGTATGACTTTCTTTTGTTATATTTGTTTTTATATGTATTCCTAAAACGATTGTATTGTGTTTGAAGTACAATAAGGTAAACATCAAATTCAATAACATAAACATCAAGCTAAGTTCATACATCCTTTGTGACAAACTCATTTTCAACTTAAATCTCAACTCGTGGTGATTTAGGTATCTAATTCTTAACCAAGACATATGGACATGCACATGTAAACTTCCATACAGCCAAATTTTAGGAAAAACAATCTTGAAAGCCACTTTGTCAAGTTGAAGTGTTGAACATAACTAATACCAAATTGACCTATTTGAAACCTTTTGTTAAACTCAATGGCACCATAAATACATTAACAAGGCAATGAAGACAAAAACAGCCTATTATTTACACTATATCAACCATATTACATGATACATCATACCAAATCTTCCTACATGATACATCATACTCAAACTCTCATACTTATTTCATAATGTGCAAATGAAGTTCTCTCTACATGATCAATTAATTGCATACATCAACAATATTCAAGAAACCAAACACCAAACAACAATTGTACTCTCTACATGACAAACATGGTCAGACCAATTATCCACCAAAAAATATTCATCAAATTCATGTTTTAATTGTCTGTATCTACCAGCGATACCTACACATTAGAATAAATCAAGATCCAAATTTAAAATTGAAAATTTTCAAGTTTTTCTTCTCTTTTTAATTTGATGTTTAATGTGTGGCATTATACATAATTCATTACCAGAAGGATATCTTCATCTGTGCCATAGGATTTACGAGCTTCTTCCAAGCAGTTGGATGAGATCCTATCACTTTTCCTTTTTACATATTTAACAATTCATCAATTTGAGTTATGAAAAGACAAAATTTTGAAAAAAACTTAATAAAATCAAAAAGCCATTATGATTGTGTTCAAAGAAAAATGTTATTCATACCTAGAACTGGCTGGATCTCGGATCTCAAATTCATCATTATGAGCATCATATCCACATATCACAACATAATGACCTATAAAAATCATTGTATCTTTTAATATTTTTCTCCAGTTTTCATCTATAAACAGTGAGGGTAGAAAGGTAAATTCTCACCTGTGTATGCTGCAGTGCCGTTATAAAACTGTGGCATATGAACATCCTCCTTCCAAGACTTACTATAAAATTAGAATTAATTGTAAAATCTTCTCGATTAAAGAATACATTGTTAATTAAAAGAAATATTTGAAGCAGTGTACCTCAAAATACACTGGTCAACTAAGGCAATCACAACATATTTTCCTGATAGGATTAAAAAGATGATTTCTTCTCCCTTAATTGACCTGAACTGTTGAAAAGGAGAAACTTTAAGTTTCATGAACAAAGCATCAAGATGTTCATATGTTCTTGTACCTCTATCTTTATTCCCTCTTCTACTGATCTCTGAAATAACATATCTACTCTCTTGATATCAGTAGCCAATTGCTCCTACAAAAAAAAAAAAAAAAAAAAAAAAAAAGGAATTTTAGCATCTAAAAGTGTAACTAAAATCTCTATTAAGTTGTGGGAAAATGAGGATTCGAATTTCAAATATCAATTACCTTGTAAAAAGTCTCCACTGAAAAATCTGGATTGGCACCTAAAGTTACTGTGAAATATGAGAATCTAATGGAAAGTTTTTGCAATAAATATGCCAGATCCACTGTCCAAATGCTACAAAAGTACAAATAATGATAAGTTTATTCAAAGATTGATTATATTTTGGATATTTATGTTATGAAGAAGAAGATAGTTAGATACCTGGTTGTACAACACAGATCCTCTAAATCTTGAATATCAAAATGGTTGAGACCAAGTGTTTTCAAAACCATCAGAACACATGCAAGACCACAATCCCATGATCGTAATTGTTTTATATGTGGGACCTAAACAGCATCCAGAAATATAAAGTTCCTTTTAGAGAGATGATAATGCATCTTGATATCTTGAATTCAAGAAGACAGGTTTTCAATTGATAAATGGACTTACTTCAACAAAGTGCGAGTGACCCAATACTGTTTTGTTGACGTTCCTATTTTTCAATGATGGTTTGGAATCGTATTGTTCAGCAAAACTCATATTGTGTACCTCTTCATGATCATCATGTCCTTCGACTTTTAGTAGCTTGTTTAAAAGGATATGTAGAGGCCACATTTGTACCAGTTTGTTGCAACTCCTGATATGGACTTTGAATTATTTTGAAGTGGAAGAACCCTAACACAAGAGATTGTTTCGGTGATAAGGTGACAAATATGCAGAGCATGAGAGTTGCAGATGCTTAATTATCTGATTCTGATTCAATCTCAAGTAATCGCATGTTTATGATTTAAACAGACAGTCACAAAAGGAACAAATCAATTACGAAACCAAAAGAAACCTAAAATTGCCCAAACAAGATGAACAGCCTTTAAACTATAAGGTCGAATTCACACCAACGAAGTTCAACGTTCTAGAGAACGCTTCGGACTTACAGATGACAAAGGATGAGGAACATAATTGCCGAATTAATATTCAAAAGGCTAGATAAACTTCTATGAAGTATAAGGATTAAGGATTAAATATGAAACGGAAATGGAAGCGAAGAGATAACGAGAGGGTCAATTACCTTTGAGGTCGAATCCGATCAGGATCTGAAAAAGCTTTGACGTTCTTCTTTGATTCACCTTTTCTTCCACCAAATTCTACGTAGGTAGGCTGAGACCCCTCTCTTTCTTCTCCTAAATTTTGGCGTCTGTTGTGAAAAATACATCGTCGAATTTGTACCTCTATTAATTAATTATGCGTAACGTCGACGGCTGTCGGTTTATCCGCCACCGGATCTTCGGTGGCCGGTGGGGATATTGTCGGGTCATATCAAATTGTTGGTGGGGGGTCTAATAGGGCCAAATAGCCCAAAGGACCATCCCACCAAAGTCCAAACCAATGTTTTGTTATTGGGCTATTCGTAAGAGATTTACGGGTTTACGTTTGACTTCAAACAAAGGGTAGAGTCGTAGAGAGGACGTAAAAGTCGAGAACACGACTTTCTTTATAGATTAAACTGCATTTTTTTAAAATGAACGTTAGACTAAATTCTAGAAAATGTTTATGTATTTATTTTAGTGAAATTCGCATTTTGAATATAAAAAGGTGTCTGGGGTTGTTTATTTGAAATAACTTATGTTAATTTATCCATGTCAAAACGAAATTTTATTAAAATTGTTCGGATTAATTTATCAAGTATCAAACGTAATATTTACACAAAACAATGATTAGTTTTTTTTTTTTTTTTTTTTTTTTTTTTTTTTTTTTTTTTTGAAGTTGAAGTCACATATATAAAAATAAGCACGTCCTAATGAGACCCAACAAGTTTTTCTAGATTTGACATAAAAGTCCATACTAACAAAAGTACCTTCATCCAAAATTCTTTTAAACATGAATAGTTTCTAGAGTAAATTATTGAAATCGTTTCTATGGTTTGATTAAAGTTGTATGTTTGGTCCTTAACTTTTTTTTCACTTTGATCGTCCATGTGGTTTCATTTTGTTGCGTTTTCCGTCCCTATGGTTTAGTAAAAATTGCACGTTTGGTCCCTAACTTTATGTATGTAACGAACAAAAAACACAACAAAATCAAACATAGAGACCATCCGAGTGCAAAAAAAAGTTAGGGACCAAACGTTCAATTTTAACCTAAGGATGATTACAGTAATTTACTCTAGTTTCTGAAAATACAAAATCAATCATTAACTTATAAATCTTAATTATTATTCTAATTAAATGAAATTTTAGTTTAAAAAAATAGTATGTTTGAAATATTTATTTTTTATATTAATTATTAAAAAAATTGTATGATAAATATGACAACCAACAACACTATGTAAATGACAAAAAAATAGAAAAAGTAGCAAATCCCCTACAGTTTATATGAGAAATTAATAATGTGATGCTCAAAGAATTTCATAACCGCCTAAACGAGCGAAATTTAATAAAAACTAATTAGGTGGTGTTAAGGTAAAAAAGAAAACCAACGATGATGTAGCCAACGATGAAACGACTTGAATGTTCTAAGAAAAGGTAAAGGTAAATAATAATTAGGTTTTCTATTTAAATATGAAGTAATTAACTTATATTAAAAAAATATTTATGCCAATAAATGTTTATCAATTATTGGTATGATGTATCCAAACATTAAAATTTACTTGATACCTAGGGGTGAACACAGATAGCGGGTATCCATTTTTGAAACCGGAATTGAAATCGCATCGGAACCGTTGGTTCTAAAACTAGAACTGAGGTCATTAGTTCTGGTTTCATTTCCTAAAATTAGAAACTGTCAAAGATTGGTTCACGTTTCGGTTTTATTTTTAGGAACTGTTACCCACCAGGTAACCCGCATAATAGATTCCAAAATAGACCCGTACAGTTTCGAGTTGATATGAATGTATGGTATGATTATTTTGGGGAACTCACTAAGTTTTATACTTACGGTTTTATGTTTATGGTTTCAAGTACTTTCGGTTCCAAGGGGAAGAGCTCGACGTGATTGCACTGCATGTCCTCATCCACCAGTGTTTTGTATTATTTGACTTGTTTTGTACATTAATGACTATATGATGTGTTTTTATACTCTGGTGAGATTTCAAATTGAGTGAATGATTATTTTTGATTGATTTAGAGAAAAATTTCCGCTTAATATTTTTGAGACGTTATAGGGTAGAGTTGATATCCTAGGTGTTAGTTTCAACAACAGAAATGTCGTATGTTCTGGATGTTCCAAGTTCTTGGGATGGGCCTTCCATCCAATGTTTCCAGGATGTATGAACCTTTCATGTGGGATTCCATGACTTTGTAAGGTCTTTCCCAAGTTGGTCCGAGCTTGCCTTTCGGTTCCTCATGGTTGGCTTCGCTTTTCCTTAATACCAGGTCACCTACTTTGAACGCTCGTTCTTTTACTCGCTTGTTGTAGTATTTTTCGATGTTTGCCTTGTATTCTGCTTGGCGAAGCACAACTGTGTTCTCTTTTCTTCTGTTAGGTCGATGTTGATCTAGAGTTCTTCGACGTTCTGATCGTTGTCGAAGTATTCTACCCATTTGGTAGAACGGCTTCTGTGTTGTATGCCAGGCTAACGGTGTTTCTTGGGTCCCAACATGGGGGTTGTTCTATATGACCACAATAATGTGGGTATTTCGTTTACCCAATTTCCATTCTTCATGCCCAGTCGCTTTTTGATTCCGGCCACCAGAGTCCTGTTGGATACCTTTGTTTGTCAACTGGCTTGGGGATGGACCATGGAGGTGAATCATTGTTGTATGTTATGTTCCTCGCACCATTGTCTGGAAGGGTTTTCGGCGAACTGTAAACCATGGTCACTGACAAGTGTCCTTAGGGTTCCAAAATGTGTGAAATTATTCTTTAACATCAATTTGATCATGTTGCGATCATTTATTGATGTCATTGGTTCTACTTTTATCCATTTTGTGAAATAATCAACGGTCACTACCAAGAACATGAATTTCCCTGAGGCTTCAAAAATAGGTTCTATGATGTTTATTCCTGAAGGTTTGTATCGATCAAATACACTTCAAGTATGAGTAACAAATAACAAACTAACTAACAAAAGATTAAACATAAAAACAAAGAACACGAATAATCACAGAGATGCTTTTAATAAGAAAGGATGTTTTGCCAAGAGAATGAAGGTCACAAAGACGGTCTTCAAGACATACATTAGGGTTTCACCTTAATGTTGAATAGATATGATTACAATAACTAAAATCCCACTAATTAAGTGATTTATACCTATCTAAGTATGTATATACATATATATATATATATATATATATATATATACGTATAACAACCTAATATACAAAAGATCACCAATATCATTACCTTCACGTTGACACTGATAAGGTCTTGTGTTGGCGTTGGTGGTCAGCGTGAAAAGTGTTTGACTCATCAGATCATAATGTGACATCCCTATTTTCTCTGCTAAAAAAGATCGATTTATTTATGCTTTATTTGAAAATCAGAGTATCCTTTTGGAGAAATATGTTGTGGAATATGTTCCCAAAAATATGATAAGTAAATTATCAAAGCATTCCCGAAGGAATGGGTTTTCATTATATTAAAAAAATGTTTGGATGTCATTGTCAATACAGTACATAAGCATAAACAGAAATAGTAAAGGCCTTACAACATATATTATCCTAATAGCCTATAATCCATATATATCTCATCATATCAACACTCCTGTGCTCTTTTGTCACTGCCTGTAATACAAGAAACTGAGTGGGTCAGGTTTGGGAGCCTGGTGAGCACATATGATTTTCAACCCACAATAATTATTTTTATTAATGTCATCAAATCATTCAACCCGATTACATGTTCCCGTTATCCTCACTTTTTGTCCCTAAAACATCTGATTCAAGGGACCTAGCCTAAGGATCATCATCGGGATGACAATACTGCTTAGGGTATTTCTCAGAAATATATGTCAGCAAGGCAACCATGAGGGGGATGAAGTACACCGGTGAACACATCATTCACAAACACCTACAGGTTGCGAGCCTACTAGTGTTCCACTAGACTGTCTAGGATAGTCGGTGGTCATCATCTATACTCTGCTAGATGACGGGGTCAGCTTTCAACATTGATGTCTCTCATCATTTATTTCATAATATATATCATCTACCCATCTTTACCCATCATAATTATAGGTATAAAATACATATATAGTTTATATCGAATAAAACATGTATATTTTGTTCCTCCAGCAAAAATATCAAGAACACAAATAATATGCACACATAGCATATAATTTAAATTAAATACTTCATATCTATTTGTAAAATGAAAGTAACTATGCACTCACTTGTTAAAGTGACAATTCACAATTTTGGCAGCACTTCGTTTCTAACAATTTTATTTTCCTTTGACGAAACATAGTATCATTATAACTAGATTTTAGTCTAATATTTATTGCGACTCATTATTAGTCTAGATTTATCACTAAATCAAGGTCTACGAACAATATTGTTTTTCTTGTATTATATAAGCGTTAAACAATATTTTTCAACTACTATGTACAAACAATGGCCAGAAATGAAACACCGGAGGGCACATTTTAGCATTTAAGCTGTGCGGCCCTTAAAACCAAATTCCACATACCATGAGCAGTTAAAAGGTATTATAATAACATTTTGTATAATATATAATACTTAGCACATGTATTGTTTATAGGTTCATAATAACGATAATGAACTCAAACATACGTTATACTTAAAGTAGGGTAAGCATAACTCACTTACAAGGGGGGTCAGCTAGGAGTCGGGCTCTGCAAGGGTAGAATTTTTGAGCCAAAGGCTCTTCTTCTCGGAGCCTTTTGGTGCTCCAGGCTTCGCCTCTAACACTTGGGAAGTGCTAGGGAAGGGGAGGGGCTAAGGGGGGATTTGAGAGAGACTGAATGGTTTTTGTGTGAGGAAATAAGGTGATTTACACCCCTATTTATAGGCTATCTGAGGGCCTCTCACATCGTGAGCTTGCGTAGGCACCAAGGCTTCTCCTGGTGCTGACACGTGGTACCGGACGCAGGTAAAACAACCAATTTTAAAAGAATCGTAACTTTCGCATAAGATCTCCATTTTTTATGTTGTTTATATCCACGCGTAGGTATTGACAAGATCTACAACTTCTTTTTAGAATCTGTCGGCTAATTTTGACTTTATTTTTAAAATTATATTCTAATAGGCTTAGACAGTTACAGTCCGTTAAAATTTCATAACTTTGTCATTTGGCGTTTGTTTTCGTCTGTCTTTATATCGTTGAGCTCTTATTAACGTGATCTTCGATTCTCGTTTAAATTGTGTCGGCTAAATGTTGGGTTAAAAATATGGTTTATACTTTGCTTTTCTAGGAAATTGTATTTTTATGTAATGTTTATGAATTTACGGTCAGATGGTTTGTTTATGGTCGTAAACCCATTTTCGGCCCATGTTCACCAAGATCATGTTTCTCATGTATAAATATAGGTGTAAGGGGTGAGGAGTAGAGTGATGAACAGAAGAATAGAGGAGCTTATGTGTGTGTTTTCTAAGGTGTTCTAGACATAGAAACAAGATAGAAGAACAAGTGTGTGAATCTCATGTAAAGGATCATCATTCTATTCATTAATACATTGAGATTCATCATTTTCTTCTTCTCCTTCTCTTCTATTTGATCTGACATCATCCGTTTGATTGGGATTTCGCACCATCAAACGGATCTGATTGATACACAAGCAGGTTGGGGACTTACAATTGGTATCAGATAAATAAAAAAAATCAAAAACCCAAGGCTTCATCCATGAGCATCGAAGAATTCTCATTCGAAGGAGCAAGAAATGAAGATTATTCTTTCGACATTCAATCCTTCAACCCCAGAAGCAAGGCGAAGCTAAAATTGAAGATTATTTGACGGATTGCATTGAAGCCTCCTCAATCAGTCTGCTGCCATCTTAAACTTGCTGAAGTGATCAAGAATATTTATTCTCTCTAATGTTCTCTCTGAAGATTCTCAAATTGAAAGCGTTATCTTTCAAGAATCAGTACAAGAAGTCTCCTCACCCAATGTGCGTTCAATGTCAAATTCTAAAGAAAAGCCCAACTGCTTAAGAAGAAGTCATTCATTGAAGATTCATCAAGTTCATCTTGAAGTCGTGAAAAATTTGAAGATTAATGCTGAAGCCAAGCTCTCGATGAAGATTGACAAGAAAAGCCAGCTACTTTTTAGGGGGAGCTTGTTGGGTCAATTTAGAAAAGAAAGTTATAAATCAAGGAGAGATTGTTGGGTCAAAAATATGGTTTATACTTTGCTTTCTAGGAAGTTGTATTTTTATGTAATGTTTATGAATTTATGGTCAGATGGTTTGTTTACGGCCGTAAACAGGTTTACGGTCGTAAACCCATTTACGACCGTAAACCCATTTTCGGCCCATGTTCACCAAGCCCATGTTTATCATGTATAAATATAGGTGTAAGGGGGTGAGGAGTAGAGTGATGAACAAAAGAATAGAGGAGCTTATGTGTGTGTTTTCTTAGGTGTTCTAGAGAGAGAAACAAGAGATAAGAATAAGTGTGTGTTAGTGTGTGTGAATCTTATGTAAAGGATCGTCATTCTATTCATTAATACATTGAGATTCATCATCATCTTCTTATCCTTCTTTTTTATTTGATTTGATATCATCCATTTGATTGGGATTCTGCACCATCAAACGGATCTGATTGATACACAAGCAGATTGGGGACTTACAATAAACTCTAAAACCCCAAGATGTAATATTTTTATTATTACTTTATATTAATTTAGCCAAAAGTAATAATAATTTAGCAAGGTGTTGACTTCGAGGAGTTATATGTGCATAATTTTTTATATTGGGGGTTAAAGTATGACTTTCGGGGTAGTTTTGCAAAGAAATTCTGAACCTAGGGGGTGTTTGATAAAATGTGGGAGTTAAATTGAAAAGGGTTTGTGGAGTCAGGGACCATTATTGTAAAAAGCGAAATGAAGTTTGTGATGAAGGCGGGTTTAAGCCGTTACTACCCTTTCCTCCTATATGTAAGGAGCATGAAGCAAACCCTAACCATAATCGCTATCGTCCAGCCGACACCCTTAAGCCCCCTGGTTCAGACGTCATCGCTCCCCTAGTCACGCAAGGACTGCCGAGTTTCATCGTTGTTGTTCTCAAGGCCGGCGAATGCAAGTGTTACGAGCCGACTGTGGTCGTGGGAGATCTGTTGAACGTGTTCTGTAGCCACCATTTCCCTCATCATCGATGGCACGACCCCCCCCCCCTAATTCATCCTCGTTGTTGCTGCCGTTGTGGCTCGCTATCGCCGTCTCCGCCTTACGGCTGGTCCGTTCTGTCAACTTTCTCCAACCGCAGCCTGCTGCCTCGAGGGCGTCTGTGTTTGGTGTGTGTTTCTATGGATTCTTGAAGGTATGTGTGATGTGGTTGTCAGTCGGGATGTGTGTGTATTTTTTATTAGTCGGAGTTCATAAGAAACCACCATGGCCGCCAACCATGGTGGCTGCTGCCGCATCGTCTTCTTCT